ATATGACTGGAAAGAGATGTTCCCTCAGATAACCTGGTTCCAAGCCATGAAGTAGCACCATTAAGTGAGTCTGGCTTTCCCACTGATTTTGTTTGTGGCCACATGACCCAGGGACACTACAACGGTCATAAATGAGTCAGTTGCCAAGCATCCAAATTTTGATCATGTGACTATGAGGATGCTGCAACGGTTGTAAGTGAAAAACAATCGTCACTTTTTTCAGTGCCTTTGTAACTTTGAACGTTCACTAAATGAACTGTTGTAATTCGAGGATTATCTATATAGGTTGCCACCAATCAAGCTGGCCTATGACCCACTAGGGAGATTTTAGATTTTTCATCAATGACATTTCAGCTTGGCTCTAGAAAAACTAAAAAGGAAAGCACTTTACATCTTCTTGTCCAATTGCAGAATTCCTGTCTACAACAAGCAACAATGTGTTTGTGTACTATTGTGTTGGATTGAGCAACAACATTCAAATGCCAATTAAGTTTTAAAAATACCTATGAAAAACCAATGCAAAGATCAAGCTTTGTGAAACAGGACAATGAAAAGTTAATTGTATACACGAGCAGCCTTAGAAATCCATTAAATAGATGAAATAATGTGCAACCTGGGAACAACTCAGCTCCTATTGCTTTCAGCAGCAGCAGCAAATACAGCCCTCCCCTGGGTGGGTGGCTTTCCTTTGATAGCAGAAGATATCAGGAATAGAAAATAAAGTGCTCCCAGGATAAGTTGTCAAGACTGATATAAATAAATAAAATGTCCCAACTGAAGGACAGCAGAGTTTGCTGAAACAGGCAAGAGTTCTAGTAATAACCATAGAAAATTCTCCACAGCCATTATCAGGAGTGGAATTCCTCCCTGGTTAGCAAAGAAGTAGCAAGCCAGTTTCACTCCACTTTCTGCTGCCAAGAAAAGCCGACGAAATTAATTTCCCAGGGATTCCCTTTAACGGTTCCATGCACAAGACCTGCCCTGACCCCACTCCTCTATGAGGACTTGCAGGTAACCTACATGTGAAGTAATAAAGCAATCTCAAAAGAAGGAAGTTTATACCCACCCTTGCACATCCCATAGGCACAACATTTGACACAACAGAGTTGGAAGGGACCTTGTAGTTTATCTAGTCCAACGCCCCTCCCCCAAAAGCGGGAGACCCTATACCATTTCTGACAAATGGCAGTCCAACCTCTTCTTGAAGGTCTCAAGTGATGGCGCTCCCACAACTTCCGAGGGCAAGCTGTTCCATTGGTTGTTCTCACTGTCAGAAAGTTTCTCCTTATTTCCAGGTTAAATCTCTCCTTGTTCAGTTTCCATCCATTATTCCTTGTCTGGCTTACAGGTGCTTTAGAAAATAGCTTGACCCCTTCCTCTCTATGGCAGCCCCTCAAATATTGGAAGACCCCTATCATGTCTCCCCTGGTCCTTCTCTTCACTAGACTAGCCATGCCCAGTTTCATCCCACCAAGTTTCTGTTATTCCAACTATATCATATCTACCTTCATATATTCGTAGTTCGAGTTCACCCTGTTTGTTCCCCGAACTTTGTGAATTTGCATAGTCACTGGAGATCTCTTTGTCTGGCATTGTGTTTCCTGTCTACAAAACCTGTGTTGTGCCTGCCCGCCCCTACTTTCTTGCCACCTGTTTGATTAGTGCACATGATATGGCACTCACTATTAAATGCTTGATTTTGGTTTTGCAGCAAGGGTGATAATCTTACCTGCACAAACATCTATTTTGCATGCACTGGTATCCTTATTAATTTTAGGTTGCTGGGGACAGAAATGTTCTGTATCCATTAATTCTCTGTCCACGCTGTTCCGGTTAAATGTTTACACATGCACAAGCCCTATTTTGGGGGACTTGAAGGTGAAAATGCTTTATTAAATAGCTGCACCCCGAGACTACATTTCAGGACAAGAACAGGCTTCTCTGTAGCCTTTAATGCCACTCCTTCCCAGGGGGAGACTGAATAACTTCTCCAAACGGCCTGGCACTTCCACCCATCACACCCTCCGGGAAGCTTTTTTCCTCGCCTTAATTGATCAACGCTTCATCCATCCAGGGCGTCTATCCGGTTAACTGAAGCAAGGCAGGAAGGGTAGCAGCACCGTTAAACCGAGGGAAGGCTGGGTGAAAGTCAGCAGGGAATCCGCGAGAGGGCGGGGGAACAGACGCCAAGACTCGGGAGGCTGCAGTTGCACACTAGGTTCCCTTGTGAAACAAGGCAACGTTACAAAGGCCCCAGAAATACTGAAATTAGAGTTATTTCTAACTCTAAATCACCGGGCATAAGATTTATGCAGAGTGCAATTTGGTCAATTCACCTCAGTCCATGCAAAGCAAGGACTGGATTATAAACAAGATTAGAAAGAGTTCACACCATTGGAAATCAGCAGCCAGCTATATCGTTTTACTTTTCAGCACAATCAGTAAAATCATAACTTGGCGGGCAGTCCGCGGAACACCGAAAAATCCAAGGAGGCGGGGGTATACGGCCTCCGCAGAAAGCCAGGCGAGCGAGGCACCGCCCAGCCCACACAGTCCACGCGGCGAAGGGTCGACAAAGAGGAGGAGCTCCGCGGGCCGTATGCAGATGAGGCACCGGCGCCATGCATTGTGGGGAAGCGGCAAGCGCGGCGCACGGAGGATCGCGGGTTGTGTGTTGCCCCCGCGGCCTCCCCTCGCGGTGTTCTCAGCAAGTTACCGTATGTGAAAAGCGTGTTCGGGAGGACCTGGGCGTCGTAACATGGGCCACCGTGATATGAAGTGAGTGTAGCGGTGGTGGGAAGGGGTCCCGGCGCGAAGCAAAGCATACTTACCTGGCAGGGGAGATACCTTGATCACGAAGGAGGTTTTCCCAGGGTGAGGCTCATCCATTGCACTCCGGGTGTGCTGACCCCTGCGATTTCCCCAAATGCGGGAAACTCGACTGCATAATTTGTGATAGTGGGGGACTGCGTTCGCGCTTTCCCCTGATTTCTCTGGTTAAAGAATAGATTTGAGGTGCTTTCTTGACACTTTTGATAGCATTTTTAAACTGATGTAGTTACGTCCGACCAAGCGCGAAAACTTGGACAAAGTTTCTCCAGTCCTTCACTTCATTCTCTGTTGTCCCCTTTCTTCTATTGCTCTCAATCTTTTCCAGCATTAGGCTCTATCTCCAGTGAGACCTTCCTTCTCATTAGGTGGCCAAAGTATTTTGAGTTTCACAGAGCTTCTTTATGAGGGGTGACAAATGTAAGAATGGAAAACTTTATAATGTTTCACAGTTCTGAAGAGAAGCTAAAACCTTTGGTGATTGGTAAACTGGCAAAGCCACACTCGTCCCAGAACCTGCGGCCCGAAGACGTTCCCATCACCTGGAAATTAACAAATCTGTATGGATGATTTGGTGCCCTATGAGGAGTGCTCACCAAGAAATAAGAAATGGTCCCTTCTCCTTGTAGTGAACAGTTGTCCTAAAGTCCCCAAGTGAATCATCTTATTGCCTCCAAACAATAGATCAAAAATTCAACCTCTCAACCAAGGCATTGACGAAACATTCAAAATGCACTATAAAGCCCAGCTTTTACAGTGGGTCATTGCTAGAACACAAACCTATGGTCCATCTGCAGAAGCAACTTTCCAATCAGTATCGATCGTGGAAAATGCTGAAAGCAATTGATGAAGCAGAACCGGTTGCTTCTCTGCTTACCTTCTTTAAAAGAATAAGAAACACACAAACGTTTTTTCTGAATGATCAAACCATGAGAAAACTACACCTATATGTATTGATTTTGTTTGCTACTATTGTATGATTCGCCTGTTTCATATGTGTGTTTTGTATGGTATTCTCTTAAAAAAAGCTATACAATAAAATGAGGCCCCACGGAACCACCTCAGTTCCCTTAGACCACCACCGTATTTTGACCACTTTAACACCCAAAGTCCCACTAACACTTGTACTTTGATGGGGAAAAAAAATTCTTTGAAGAGTGTCAGTAAAAGAGCACAAATCTATTCTTTAACCAGAGAAATCAGGGGAAAGCGCGAACGCAGTCCCCCACTACCACAAATTATGCAGTCGAGTTTCCCGCATTTGGGGAAATCGCAGGGGTCAGCACACCCGGAGTACAATGGATGAGCCTCACCCTGGGAAAACCTCCTTCGTGATCAAGGTATCTCCCCTGCCAGGTAAGTATGCTTTGCTTCGCGCCGGGACCCCTTCCCACCACCGCTACACTCACTTCATATCACGGTGGCCCATGTTACGACGCCCAGGTCCTCCCGAACACGCTTTTCACATACGGTAACTTGCTGAGAACACCGCGAGGGGAGGCCGCGGGGGCAACACACAACCCGCGATCCTCCGTGCGCCGCGCTTGCCGCTTCCCCACAATGCATGGCGCCGGTGCCTCATCTGCATACGGCCCGCGGAGCTCCTCCTCTTTGTCGACCCTTCGCCGCGTGGACTGTGTGGGCTGGGCGGTGCCTCGCTCGCCTGGCTTTGTGCGGAGGCCGTATACCCGCCGCCTTGGATTTTTCGGTGTTCCGCGGACTGCCTGCTAAGTTATGATTTTACTGATTGTGCTGAAAAGTAAAACAATAGAGCTGGTTGCTGATTTCCAATGGTGTGAACTCTTTCTAATCTTGTTTATAATCCAGTCCTTGCTTTGCATGGACTGAGGTGAATTGACCAAATTGCACTCTGCATAAATCTTATGCCCGGTGATTTAGAGTTAGAAATAACTCTAATTTCAGTATTTCTGGGGCCTTTGTAACGTTGCCTTGTTTCACAAGGGAACCTAGTGTGCAACTGCAGCCTCCTGAGTCTTGGCATCAGGTACTGAAGAAGGATGGATCCAGTGGTGGAGTAAATGGAGATGGTGGATAAATGATTGCAACTTTTATTGGAGTCTCATCTTTTTTAGTCTATGGTACTATATTCTGTTGCTGCAGAGTGTTCCTTTTGGCAGATGGGCAGCTATATGTTTGCTTACATAGTTTAATAAATAAGTAATAAAACATGCATCTAAGGATACACCAGAAAACGTTTCTGTAGACAGACCCAAAATGTCCCTTTCATATATTTATAGAATATTAGAATACTGATCATGCTTTCTCTGATGATTCAGAGAAACTGTTGGGTTAGTATACGGTCAAAACTTACACAACAGTAAATGTAGAATCATTTCAGTCATATTCTATGGTCATTGTACATTAATCTTGGGTGAATTCCTTAGGGCAGTTAGAGGATTTAAATATATCTGGGATCTCACTATCAAGTTTGGAAATTATTTTGTAAATTGTTTTTTTCCAGGAAGGATCCAAATCCTGCCCTGCTCTGACAGCACTAAAGAACTTCTGAAGGGTCAGACTGGCAACATCCAAGAAACCATCAGGAACCTGTAAAGATAGAATGAAAAGTTTAGGAAAAGTTTATTAATTTGACACCTGTATGGTCAACAATCAGCTTCATTTTAGCAAAACTATTGCACTGCAATGTTTGCTAGAAACTCCTATGTTCCCCAAGGTACCATTAATTTTATACCATAACTGATAAGTTGTCAATTCTTGGTCCCAAAACCACCTTCCTCTAGCCATTTATGGTTTAACATCAGAATTGGATCCTACCAAGCAGGGATTCATCCATTCAGAGTATCTTAATTATTCCATTATGTATCTGTTCTCTAAAAAAAACTTTATATGATTAACAATGTAAAAACATAAATATAAAAATCTATCCTCAGAATAACAAAAACATACATAGTGTTAAGCTTCTCCTTAATCAAATATGACAGGAATCCAGTACGCATTCAGGCAGGGCTGTGTATTTGACAGTAGCAGAACAAGCATAGAGAACACTGTATATGTGTGAACAACTGCTCAAGTATTTGCACCACATGATGTGGTTATAATTTAAGCAGCTACTGTTGTTACCTCATTGAATGTATTTGGAAGAGAAACATCTGTTATTATTAGATAATTCAGGTAGTATTTCAACACTTTAAGTCTCTAAATAGTACAATATAACTAGGATCACAAGTTTTTGAGGTGCAGGGATTCCTTAATTAGATTCATAATAAATAATAATGGTAAGCTAAAGTGATCTCTGTGGTATTCTGATTTGAAGAGATTGTGGACTGTGCTTTTTCTACGCTATTCAAATATAGTCTTACCTCAAAATCATTGCCTTTGTTGTAATGGACATTAAGGATCCGGAAGAGCTCAGAGTCCCTGGTAACAATAAGATCGCTGAATTCTGTAATTCCTTCCAAGAGAGCTTGCCTTGCAAATTTTTCCATCTGGATGTAATAAAATTCACGAAAATTGCTAAACCACTTGATGAGCTGGGAGGTGATACAGCGAGTAAACTGTTAAAAAGAGCAGTTAACTGTTAGAAAGAGCAATTTATCTATCTATGTGTGTGTGTGTGTGTATGTTCCAGCATAACTCTGGAACACCTCAAGCAATTTCAACCAAACTTGCTACACAGATGATTTACCCTCTGGAAACAAATACTGTGGGGGTAAGACACCCCTAACACCCCTTGGGGAGGTGCCTTAAAATGACTTCTACTGTACAGCACAGTGGACTTGCCATGGTAACAGCTTCACAGTATTCCGGTACTCCACAAGGGAACTCCCTCTCAGCCCTCCAAGGAAACGTCAGGCAATTGGCCAAGTGCAATAAAAAAATGAAATACCAGCATAGACAATAAACTCCCAAGGAGAGGAATAGAAGACTTGCAACGCTGCGCGAGAGACAGTACAACAGAGTGAGTCCCAACTACAGGATTTTCCTGTCTAATGTAGGATTGGGATAAATAAATACCCTGGCAATGCCGGGTTATCAGCTAGTAATGTTGTAAATAACATATGCTAACTTCTGTTTCCTCCTGGACACTACATTGTATTATATCTGTGTATGCACCAAAAACATTCCCTACATAGGTAGTACTTTCATAATGAAGTAATTGGGGCTGAAATTTTCATTACTAAGAAATAGTAATAAAGTGTGATGTCACATGATTGTGCACTTATTGGCAGAAATTCCAGCTCTTTGGCTTGCCATCATTAAGCAAATCACTCTGGATTGTCATCACTTGAAGCTTTCTGCTGGCTTCCCCATTGACTTTGGTTGTAGGAAGCTGAGAGAGATGGTTGCAGAAGTGATCACATGACCACAGGATGCTACAATTTCATAATCATGAGCCAATTGCAATCACATGGGGGATATTGCAACAGCCAGAACTTCGAGGAGGTCGTAAGTATCACTTTATTGGTGCTTATATAGGTTCAAATAGTTTCTGAACAAGTTTTTAAACAAAGGTCATGTGTACAGTGTCAATCTGCAAGTATTTTGTACACACTTGGGAATAATATGATTGGTACTTAATTTTTACATCATCTTAGCTTATATTTCCAGTTTTCACAAGGATCCATGCTCTGCTAAAGAGGATTTTGGAGAATCTTGTTAGCAATGAAATACATTAAAGTTAAGCTTACCTGTATATCTAGAAAATAAGCTTTCAACAGGGAAGATGTGGGATAGCGTGAGAAGAAGAACATCAGTTTAGCCTTTTTCAGATGGCCTGGGGTCAATGCTTCGTGGATTTAATCTGGAGTCAAGGAAAAAATATTTGCCCAACTTGGGGCTGTACAACCATCTAGATGCATAGGACAGGATGTGTAGCATCTATTGGGAATGCCTTACATTAAAAACAACTTTTTCTGCAATTAGAAATCAGCTACAGACAGCTCTCACGCAAGCCTAAGAAAACATTATTATTTTTTTGCTTTAAAGTGTTTCCAGGAGCAGATGCTACTTGAAAGTCCAGTGTGCTTCAGATTTTACTGTACTCCACAAATCAGATACTCTGCACGCAGCCCAATAAATGCTACATGTTGTCCCCATGAGATTCCTTTCTACTGATGTGTATCAATACAATAGCAATGTTATCAAGTGGGATTTTGAGGGAAAAAAAATCTAAGATGTCATCTTGGAAGACATGTGAAGAAATACAGATTAGCACCTAAAGGGTGATGTCCCTGCCAGAACATAAAGTTGCCCAATAGTGCTACTATAATGGAAATATTATCTTAATCCCATGCAATGGGGACTAGCAACAGAGACCTATTTTTGATTTTTTGCTTCACCTGATTGATAAAAGTAGAAATCAGTTAACTCATTGCCATAAAAGTACCCCTTGGGTATATTCCAGTATTGCGTATCTATCTAGTGGCAGCTTTTATTTTAAGCAGGCATTTAAATTCATTTTACAGAGTAGAAGGAAATAGCACAATTCAGGCTTCAGTTGAAGGTAACAGCATTCAGGCATCTTTCTTATAAATAATGTACCATTAATTTGTTTGGCAAATGGCAACTAAAGGAATGTGGCTATAGGCAGAAATAAAACATTTCAAAATGTTTTTGGAGGTTCCAAAGGGAACAATGTCTTAAGTCTTGCCCCTTTTTGTCCCTTACCCATTGGCCAAAATAGGCCCAATCTTTTTTGTGCAATGTCACTTTTTTAAGAGGAACAAAATGGGACAAACAAAGTCCTTGTTTGATTCAAACTGACAGGAAAAATGGACTCTAACCACTTCAGAAATGTTTGGGGAATATTAAATGGGTACTAATGAGCTACATGCAAGCTGTCTCTCCTACCCTAAATGCAAAGATGTTTTAAAGACCCCTAAAGGATATATTTCTTGCTGAGAAGTACACTCCATCCACCATGGCATGCATTTCAGCAAACATTGCATTTGTAGAAGGAAGAGAAGCCAAACTTTCCAAGCGAGGTGGATATTGTTTCATGCCTGATGGTTTGATTGGTTGCCATGGCACTTCTGAAGACTCAGGAGATGCCATTCTTGGAGGAGGACTCTCCCAATGGCCTTTTTGACCACAGAATAGCATTTGACTAAGAACGCCATTTTCTTGAACTTCAGAGGTCAAGATCAAGGGGTAATTCTCTGGTGCCTGGCAAGGTTTTCTCTCCGTTTTTGTATGGATGGAATGAATAGGAAAGCCTGGAGATTTTTCTGTGATTAGTGATATAGGACCTTTAGGAGAAGAGATCTTAGGAAGCCACTTACTGGGTATATTTCTTCCAAGAGCTGTCCCTATGGAATTATTGGGCAAATGAGATGGAAGGCTCGATGATTTAGGCAAGATCTTTTTCAAAACAGAATCTACAGCGTGTATCATTACTTGTGTTAATTCTTGTTTTAATATTTCTGAAAGTGTTTTTTCTTCCAAATTTTGAATGCCTCTTTCTTCTTTCTCTGACAGCACAAGGTCTCTTACTCTGGGTGTGCTTTTCCATAAATAATCTTCATGTTGGTCGTAACACAACACTTGACCGTTGGTGTCTGTCTTTCCACCATACTTCTTCAACAAGCCCAAAGTTCTCTCTATACTTTCTTGGCTTGGATCAGAATCATTTTCCTCATCATGTTGAAGAAACCTCTCCCCAAGTTGCTTCAACTGATGTTGCAAAGCATGGAGCTGCTTCTTCACCTGAAGGAATTCTTCTGCTGAGATGCTGCTTCTATGAGGTCTTGTTAGGGAAATTCCTGGCAAACTTTGCTGTTGAGGAAGTTTCTGCTTCCTCTTGTTCTGTCTACTGCTTTCCTTTCCTTTCTCAAAATTGTGATCCTGTTCCCCCAGAGTATCGGACATTACTGGGTTTGGCATGATACTCATTCCCTGGATAATATTTTCCACTCTAGCCCTCTTAGCTTGTAGTTGTTCATTGTGGAATTGGTTTGTGTTACCAAAGCCACAGGCAGGCAATGGACTCATGGCAATAGCTTCCTTAGAAGATGGGTGCTCAGTTTTCTGTGAGCAGGGGAGAAGAAAGCTTATATCTAGCTCACGATTTAATTCTGACCGATTAAGAAGATGTGATATAATAGATTCATAATAAGGAGGGAGAAAAGAATAATTTCCTTCAGTACAAAACTCTCCTTTTTGTCCATCTACACATACAGAACTAGGAATATAATTATATTGATTAGCAATGCTATTCACATTCATATCTCTTTCTTCTTTTAGGACAAAGAATTGATATCTAGTGAGACACTGACAATTGTAGAGGGAGATACAACTTTTGTTTTTGAGAGCACAGGTGCCTTGGGACTTTGTTTTTTATACTTTAATTAGCCAGGAATCTGGAGCACAAAGAAAGAGTAAAATATGTTTAGTATTGTAAACATGTGTGATTAACTGTCAGTGTACAAACTATCAAATATTGAGGACTCTGCAAATAAAATAGTCAGTGCAAGAAAAACAGCACACTAATCTACATTTTAATGTTACATCAATGTTACATCTTGCCCAAGTTAGTAGGTTTAAAACATTCCTAAAGAGGGGCTTGTAGATGAATATGAAGAAAGTAACTTTTGCTATCAAGTTCACAGTGTAATAGGATTAACTGATTTCTCACTATATCATTTATCTTCTTGAATATATATTCTTGGAATGTACCAAGATTTCTGGACATTTTGGACATGGGATCTGGTAAAAAAAATAATACAGGTAATCCTAGACTTAATGACCACAACAGAGCTCAAATTTTCTCTTGTTAAACCAGGCAGTTGTTAAGTGAGTTTTGCCCCATTTTACTTTTTTCCACAATTGTTAAGTGAATCACTGTAGTTGTCAAATTAGTAACATGCTTGTTAAGTGAATCTGACTTCCCCATTGACTTTGCTTGTCGGAAGTCAGCTGAAAATGTTGCAAACTGATTACATGAGCCCAGGATAGCACATCTGTCGCAAATACATGCCAGAAGCCAAGTCCCTGAATTTTGATCACATGATGGGGGGTGGTGTTGCAACAATCGTAAGTTGAAAAACAGTCAGAAGTTACTTTTTTCAATGAAGTTTATAACTTCAAACATTCACTAACGGAATAGTTGTAACTCGAGGACTAGCTGTACAATATTGAAAACTGATGTGCAAAAATAGATTGTTGATATTGTACTATTTGAATTAGTCTTATTTCGTTTATTGTTTCTCTGTCCCTTTTGTGTTTTGATTAGTTTTTGACAAATGGGACAGGAAGAAAATGTGATCATTTTTGGGGAACTGTTTGTAATTTTGCATGTTTTCCCTGCTTTTTGTGGGGTAAAGTTGATATTATCTTGCATTTTTCACACGTATATTTCTTTTCTGTTAATTAAGTTGAAACAATAATAAAGTAAATGTAAACTATTTGTGAGTTAGTTTAGAAGCTTAGCAGAGGCCAGTGTAATCAGTACTTGGATCGAAAACTATTAGAGAATATCAGGACTATAAACTAGAGTGAGAATCAAAAAACATCCAGAAGAAAGCATGACTACTCATGCCTACGTTGATATCACCGGGAATCAAGCTTGACTATCTTTATCTCCACTATCCCATATGCTGAAGCTGAATTAATAGCATACTGATCACTCATGTAGATTATTAGCACAGATCCAACATGTGCACAATAAGGAATGTCAGCCAGTAACTCAGCTAATGTTTTCTTTGCACTGTAAATCCTCACAGCAGCAACACAGACTATAATAAAAGCATCCCTCTTGAGATTATATAAAATGTTGGAATTACTGTAGCCCAGTGTCCTGTCTAGAAATGGGCAGATCTTGTATACCAATCTAGATTAACAATAGGTGGTCATAGTTATTAAGGTCAGTATCCAGCTGACAATGATAGCTTGGCAGCACTTTCAAACTGCAGAAGATCCATATCAAATAATTTCTCTAATTTCAAGACCAAAGAATATTTGACTCAAATGCCACTATTTTATCAGGTTTCAAAGTTAGTTTTACTGGACCTCATCCATGTCTAGGTTGTACAGTATATTGACTTTTCTGTTTCAAATGTCACTGAAAAGTATTGCTGGATCTCATCAGTATTATGACATTTTGCAATCCTTGAAACTATTCTAAAATGAAAATTGGGTGTCCCCCACCCCCAACCTGTATGTATCTGCTGGATCCCTTTATGTACTTTTTCTGTAAGATAATGCAGTCTTGTTGCTGAATTGGATTCCAAGAATGTGACTACTTTGGACTATGACATAAATTAGTTCAATCTCCTAATTTATGCTCATTAACTACATTAATTTTATGAATTATCACTTGCACTCCCATACCTTGCTTACTCGTCTGAATGAAGACAAATATACAGGTACTTAACAATAAATCATTTTACAGTTTAATGTTCTCGCCAAAACAACCTCTCAATATCTGGTTATGAGGTTTTGAGCCACATCAAATAAGATGCCACTCATGATGAAAAGTAACTTTGATCAAAGCTAACCTCAGAACTAGTTATAAAAATAATACAAAGAAAACCAATTTACAAGAAAAAGCATGACAAATAGGTGAATTTACAAATATATCAAGTCAAACTTCTAAGAAGGGAAAAATATACAACATCCTTCCACCAATAGATTACCCAACACTGATCCCTTTTCTTGTGTTCCCAGACATAAAACACTCACCTTGGCTTCCTTGTCTTTGAAAGAATCTGAAGCCTGCTGTTAAATGACAAAGGGCAGAGCTGTCAACAAAGACCTCCCTTTATTACTGTATCAGTCACAGATGGTAATGAAGGAAATCAAGAACAGCCAATCAGTTTGAGGAGCCTATGAATATGCAAAAGAAACCAAAATCCATGTCTTCTATTGCATCTTCTCAGTACACAGGAAGATGCTATAGTTCTGATGAGAAAGTATAAGTGTGTATATATATACAGGTGTCTGTATATATACATACACATACACACCAGAATAGAGTAGAGTGACCCTGGACGAATAGTATTATTGGTTAAGAATTATTGTTCCTAGAATGTTTGTGTTTAGTGGATATTTTGTGGCCAACTAATGCATAGAAAAATGAAGTTTTCTGTGGGAAAGTGTTATTATTTTGCATACCCTAATAACATACTATACTATGAATGACAATATTGTTACAGATAACAAACTGTTGCACTGGCTTTGGCTGCTATTCCAAACACACAACCACTTTTGTCTTGCTGATTATATCCACAATGAATGCATTGCAGATTTTCTCCTTTTGCACGGTTCTATTTTATACTGTTTAGTTACTGGGGTGGGGTGGATGCCATTTTGGCTATTTCCAATACAAGATACAGTCACTTGCTACCAGCATCATCGGGGGGCATCCGTGGAGGTTGAAAAAATTAAAATGTCAGCTACAACCATGCAGTCCAGCCCATTTTAGTGGAGCACATGCTATAAGAAGTGGGTTTAACAACGCGTAATTGTGCTTTAATTGCTTTAACCTTCTTGTGCCCACTTTCCTCTGCAGGTGTCAGCCAGGCTGTATCTGGATACGCCGTAGTGCCGTTTCACAGACAAACGACAACACAGCCCATTCGGAGCAGCCACCCAGGCACCCCGATCGTCCTCCCACCCCACCTTAAGAACAGTTGGCTGTTTTTTCTCCGTTGGCAGATGATGCTCAGTGGGAGAGGAAGAGAAATAGCAATCGAAATGCAAATAGGCAGCCTCAGGGCTCGGGCGCAACAGTGATCGGTACAGAGAGCAGCGCATCGGGCTGGAATTTTGCATGGTGAAACCACAACGCGGATTTCGTCATCCACCCTCCATAACAGAGGTCTCCCACCTTGGCCCCTTTAAGCCTGGAGGACTTTCAATTCCCTTCAACTCGGCTTTGCTGCCTGGTGAATTCTGGGAGTTGAAGTCCTCCAGGCTTAAAGGGGCCAAGGCGGGAGGCTCCATAAATCTGAGGTTTGAACTGAAATGCGTTGCCCCTTTTCAGTTATTGTCCGTGTAAGAAGCGGCTTGTTTCATAACGCCATCTGGTTTAAAGCAGAGGCTTCGTTCGTTGCTTCTCTCAGGCGACTTTCCCTCTCCTTTTGAACAATAAAAAAGAAAAAAGACTTCCATACACCGCTCAAGGACCAACTCCCCACATAGGACGCCCATCTCCAACGCCCCTCCTCTTTTCTCTTAGCTAGTCCTAACGACGATTCCGCCTTCCCTCGGTTTGCCTCGATTGGTACGTCCCGCTTAATTCGTCGTCCCCCCTACCGCTGGACTACTGTTGGTCGGTCCCAAGTCGCATCCGGCCTCCGCCGGGGCCTGATTCCGGCGCGCGCCCTGGAATTCTTTCCTTTTTTTTTTTGCCGTTGTTGCCGCCGCGATGGTGTTAGTTTCCCTAGTTCGGGCTCGTTGCTTCGCCCGGGTGTTCGGCCGCTCCCTCTGCGCTGTTCAGCAGGTAGCTCGCGGGCAAAAACGGGCGGCTGGCGGGGAGGTCACTCTGCTTGGGAACCAGGGGCTGAGGTTGGGGAGCGGCCCCCAAGGGCACCGGGGAGAGGGTGACGAGGGGGGGGGAAGCGGCAGCGGAGAGGGAGACCGTCGGCTTTTATTACCCTCCCCCGACCCCGTTTTAGCCGGCGCTTGATTATAATAAGCGCGAGGAGCAGCGGCTTGTTCTCTAAGGTGCCTCCCAGAAGGTCCAACCCCCATCTGGTCGCAAGGACACGGCGCCTTCCCATTTGGACGGGCGAAGTCCTGCTCGAAAGGGGTGAAGTGGAGGGTTGGAAATCTTTGGGGCTTCGCAAGGCCGAGACTCTGCAAGGAAACTTGCCCGGCGCGAAGGTGGCTCTGAAGGTTGAATGAAATACGGCGAGGTTCCCCTTGGAGCACCCGGAACGTGAAAGAGAAACGGGGGGGTGGGGAGCGGTTTAAATAAAGAATTCTAGTCATTTCGACCCCCAGTTGCCCTTCTGCCCCGGGTCTGTGCAGCGAAGCTTTGAGTTGGCGGACGTATCCAAAACCACCTTCCGTCTCTTTATTTTCCTCTTCAACAACCACCACCCTGTGAGGTGGGCCGAGTTAAGTGTGTATGTGAGACACTGGCCCAAGGTCACTCAGCTGCCTTGCATCCCTGTTTTAATTGAATCTCCCTCTTTAAAGCAAATTCAAATATGCGTAATGAGGTTTTCTTTAGGGATGGTTGTCCACATTTGTCCTGAAAATTGTTATGCTATCACATCAAG